GAGAGAGAGAAGGTGGGGGTGAGGATGAGGCACCACTGGTCGAATGATGCTGAAATATTTGGTTAGAGACCGAGAAAAGAGGGGCGGGGGGAGAATGAGAGAGACGCAGCAGCCCATCCTGACCTGGACGTTTTGCGAAATTACCGGTGCAGGGGCTGTGGGGTCCCTCCCCCTCTTCTCTTTTCCGCGTGCGGACCGCTTCGGGTTTTGCGTCTTCTAATTGGCCATTAGAACGGTCTGAGGCCTCATCGGCGGCAAGGAGAGAGCCGGGGCGGGCTCGCGCTTGTAAAAGCGGCGGGGTAAGGGTGAGGGAGAGGGAGAGGGATATAGAAGTGTGCTAACCGGGAAGGAGATGTTCACCACCTGCAGCGATTTACGGATAGAGGGGGGGGAAGAGGGAAAAGAGGTGGGGTGGGGGTGTTCGCGCCATGACAGAATTAAAAATACTTCGTAACGGACTAGTCAATAAGTCGAGAGGGGATGGCCAAGGTGAGGTTTCCAAGTAAATCGATACATGACAGTCGCAGAGGACCGCTAGAAAAGAAGATAAAAATGCTATACTTGAAGAATTCCATCGGACATTTAGATTACAAATCATGTTTTGCTTCTGTAGCATTAAAAAAAGATTAAATCACAACTAACCATTGATGTTTTTTTTTTAAAAAAAAATATGTTTTTTTTTCCCCTATTTTAAAAATTGAACATGACGGTGATGGTGCTGGTTGCCCTTCTGCGATGATAGAGACGCACGGCTATCGATGGTGTGTGTGTTGTGTGCGTGTGTGTGCGAAATGATGGAATGACATCAGAAATGCGTTAAGGGGAGGGTGTGGGTGGGCGGTGGCTGAGATACTGGAGGGCTGCTCCCGGGGCCCGGCTAGAGGGGTGGTGCGGTGGACCGCGGCGTGCGCGCTTCCCACGGCCTGCACACTGTCACGACGGGTCCCCCCAGCCGGGGCGGGGTCTCCACAGCCACCCTTACTACGATGTTGTGCACTCGAAATTCTTGTTTAACACTCTTTTTTTTTAAAAAAAATTGTAGCTTACGCGTATCATGCACCTCTTCCGCCATTTTCAATACGTCAGTTTGAACATAAGTCTCCACACTGCCGTATACAAAAATGCCGAAGCGGTGCATGATGATATAGATGTATGCGTAAGCTACATCTAAAAGGGTTTGTAAGAGACAAGTGTTCACTGTTTCACAATATGTACCTTTTTCGAAGTTTTTAATTTACAAAACAATGTAGGAAATGTTCGATTTGTCGAAAATATTAAAAAAAATATATACCAAGGGTAAGGGTACTTCTTGTATGGTCGACTATGCAATAATACTAACGTGCTTTGTTTCTCTTTTACTTGTTGCAGGGACCTGAGCAACAACGAGCTGAAGGGCATCGGCAAAAACTCGCTCCGAGGCCTGGGGTCGCTTCGCACCTTGTGAGTATTCTCATGGGAAAGGGTGGGGAGGGGGGGGGGCAGGAAGGAACCGGAGGCGACCTTATGGGGTTGATTGCTGGAGAGGTTGCGAAATTTGCATCTCCCTTGCACTCGGTAAAGCTCTATGAGCATCTCTCTCTCTCTCTCTCTCTCTCTCTCTCTCTCTCTCTCTCTCTCCCTCTCTCGCTCGCTCGCTCTCTCTTACTCTCTCAGTTCTCAGTTCGTGGTGGCGCTGGGTATCTGCGTATTATTTATTCAGAACAGGTGTGGCAACCCGACGCGGGACGGGAGGTGTGGGGAGGGGGAGTCGGGTCAGCTTAGTGGAAGCCCCTGTGCACTTGCTGCGAATAAGAGAGAGAGAGGAGGGGAGAGGGGGGTGCGGGATTGCTCCTCATG